TCCCCCTCACCCCCCCCATTCTACATGTGTGTGCGTGTGTGTGTGTGCACACGCAAACAACGGTCCATGCGAGGCGTTTGAGGCATGTTCCAGCATACCTGACAGTGTGTGCGTGTGCCGATTTTCCCATCTCCGAGGCATACCTGCTCACTTGGTCGTGGGCCTATCGGCAGCTTTCGTGCTCTCCGCAAAGTGGGTAGGGTTTTGGTCTTTTGAGAAGGTAAAAAAAAAAGTCACTTTTGGTGTGAATCCACCAGGTCGGAGGGATGGCCGAGTTGTGACGGTGGGTGAACAGAATCGGCTGAAATATTAACAAGCTGGACGACTCACGCCCCTTTTCGTGGTCGATTTTCTCGTCGCCTAGCCGACCAGGTGAAGCGGGACCATGCGACCTGGTTGACTTGACCTACCCCCCTGCCTTGTCGCAACGAGGCGGGATCAGCGATCCTTATCACCAACGTCGGACGACGCCCAACAATCGCTACAACACAGCCTGACACGATAGGCTTGCATGCTCAAATCCAACCGAACGGCCGGTGCTCCAGCTTGGCCAGATCGTGTCTGCTTGTCTCGACCTGCTCAGATCGTCACGACATGTCAGTCAACCGTTTGCTCGTCCCTTGCACCCCCACACACACAACTTGTACATTCGACCCGACCTCAACCGGTCCTGTCTGGTTTGGTACCGACCAGCCTGGACTTTCGAGGCACCTCCAAGACGGCCATCTTTCTTGGCCAGACGCCACAGACTCCCCGAGCCTGAACCTTCGCTTCGTTACTCGTCGTCGCGGTGATTAGCATCTTCCAAAACACCACTGCGAGATCAAACAGGGCAGGTGCTCGACGCGACCACTCTGTCTGTGTGAGTGTGCGTGTCTGTGCGCGCCTGTGTGTGTGTGTGTGTGTGTGCTTGGCTGCTTTTGTGCCTGGCGTTCAGGTGGGCAGATGTGAAGCTGGTCAAAAGAGGCTATGATTTTTGGCTACAGGCGTGAAGAGAAGATGGGTCTCGAAGTCCTCCTTCAGGCATGCCTGCTTGCAGTGAAGGAGTCGTCAATGGAAGGTATTCGCGAATTAGCCCCTTTTAAGACCGGCTTGGCAGACGTCGTTGGAGCTGAATGCTAAAACATTAAAGCAAAAAGCATCCATTGTCATAATTTTGAATGTCTCTATAATTAATAAACGAAGAAAAGTTGGGTTTCGAGGAATCTCTTCTTTCATAATGGTTGGGATTACTTCCATTTCGAGTAGAAGTGTTTGGTGAAGAGATTCGAAGGTCGGTTGCACCAGAAGACGACAGCGGATTTCTCTTGACCAGCTGTCGATTGGCTTTACTGGAACATTCATGCTGACACTGTCTCCGAGGCGCAATCTCCTTCGATTCCGGTGAAAAGGTGCTAAGCTTTCGTCTGTCATATGACGGACATCATCAGAGCG